AAAAAATGGACAAAATATAAGCCCCGCCCACCCACCCCGTCTCAATTGTGATGAATTTTGTATCCATCAATTGGAAAATCGGAAAATTGGAAAATTTAAAAATGAAAACTGGAAGTGATATCGTAAAATTGAAGAAAAGAAAAACAAAATATCGAAAAATGGAAAAATTGAAAAATCTAGAATTGATTTTAAAAAATTTGAATGCCAAAAATTCTAAAAATGGAAAAATCGTAACATCGAGAATTCGGAACATACCAAGATCGAGAAATGTAAAAAAATCCAAAATTGAAATGTTGCAAAGTTGAGAAATCGAAACTTGAAAAATCGAGAAACCGAAATATTTTAAGTATTGAAACCCGAGAAGTTACGAAATAGAAAATTCGAAAAATTGAAATCTGAAGATTTTAAACAATCGTAAAATTGAAAAATGGAAACATAAAAAAATTGGACAATCGAAAAAAGCCGAAAGACCGGGAAATCGGAAAATTGAAAACCAAGATGTATAAAAATCGAGAAATTAAAATAGCCCAAAATCGAAAAATTATTTGAAACATTTATATTCAAAAGAGATCATTGAAAAATCGATAAAACTGAGAAATCAAAAAATTTAAAAATCAAAAAACTGAAAAATCCGTAAAGCCAAAGAACGGAAATTTGATCAATCAATAAATCAAAAAATTGAAATATTAAAAATCGAGAAATCGAGAAGTCAAAAAATCGATCAATCTACAGATCGAAAATTTAAAAAGGTCCAAAATTGAAATATTAAAAAGTCTTAAAATCCAGGAATCGTAAATCAGAAATATCGGAAAATAGAGGAATCGAAAATTTGAAAAATCGGGTAATTGAGGAAACGAAAAATTAAAAAATCCCAAATACGAAACATCGAGAAATTGAAAAATTGGGGAATCGACTAATTGAAAAATCTCAAAATTTTAAAATCAAAAAAATTGAAAAATCTCAAAACTGAGATATCGAAAAATTAAGAAATGAAAGCATCGAAAGGCGGAAAAATTTTAAATTCGAAAAATTGTAAAATTTAGCTCTTTTCCAAACATTTCAAAGAATGGACAAAATATAAGCCCCGCCCACCCACCCCTTCCTAATTGTGATGAATTTTTTATTCATTGGTTGGAAAATCGGAAAACTGGAAAATTTAAATGTGAAAACTCCAAGAGATACCGTAAAATTGAAGAAAAGAAAAACAAACTATGGAAAAATGGAAAAATTGAAAAATCTAGAAATCGATTTAAAAAAAATTTGAATGTGGAAAATTCTAAAAATGGAAAAATCGAAACATCGAGAATTCGAAACATCCAGAGATCGAGAAATGGAAAAAATTCCAAAATTGAAATGCTGCAAAGTTGAGAAACCGAAAACTTGAAAAATCGAGAAACAGAAAGATTTTAAGTATTGAAACCCGAAAAGTTGACAAATAGAAAATTCGAACAATTTAAATCTTGAAAAATTAAACAATCGTAAAATTGAAAAATGGAAACATCAAAAAATTGGAAAATCGAAAAAAGCTGAAAAAGAGAAATCGAAATATCAAATGATCGAGAAAATTTATATTCAAAAGAAAACATTGAAAAATCGAAACATCGAAATCTCGATAAATGGAGGAATTGAGAAGTTGATAAAACTGAGAAATCCAAAAATTGAAAAATTCGAATACTCAAAGAACGGAAAGTTGATCATCGAAGAATCGAAAACTTAAAAAATCCCAAATACGAAATATCGAGAAATTGAAAAACTGAAAAATCTCAAAACTGAAATATCGAAAAATTGAAAAATCGAAGCATCTAAAAATCGGAAAAATTTTGAATTCGAAAAGATTGTAAAATTTTGATTTTTTTCCAAAAATTGCTTATTCTTTGTTTTGTTTTTGTTAATATATAGAATTTTCTTTTAACAACAATATAGTTAAATATGTTTTCAGTTTCTTGTTGGTACAGGAAGACTTCGTATATTAAGAAAGAATGGACAAAATATAAGCCCCGCCCGCCCACCCCTTCCTAATTGTGATGAATTTTTTATTCATGAGTTCGAAAATCGGAAAACCGGAAAATTTAAAAATGAAAACTCCAAGTGATATCGTAAAATTGAAGAAAAGAAAAACAAAATATCGAAATATGAAAAAATTGAAAAATCTAGAAATTGATTTAAAAAAATTTGATTATCAAAAGCTCGAAAAATCGAAACATCGAAACATCGAGAATTCGAAACATACAGAGTTTGAAAAATGGAAAAAATTCCAAAATTGAAATGTTGCAAAGTTGAGAAATCGAAAACTTGAGAAACCGAGAAACCGAAAAATTTTAAGCTTTGAAACCCGAGACGTTGAAAAATATAAAATTCGAAAAATTGGAATCTTAAAAAATTAAACAATCGTAAAATTGAAGAGTGGAGACATCAAAAAACTGGAAAATTGAAAAATCGAGAAATTAAAATAGCCCAAAATCGAAAAATTATTATTTGAAAAATTGAAAAATTTATATTCAAAAGAAATCATTTAAGAAATTTACGTTCAAAAGAAAACATTGAAAAATCAAAACGTCGAAATCTCGATAAATCGACAAATTGAAAAATTGATAAAACTGAGAAATTAAAAAATGTAAAAATCAAAAACTTTAAAAATGCCGAAAGTTGGTCAATCGATAAATAAAAAAATTGAAATATCAAAAACCTGAAAAATTGAAGATTTGAAAATTTAAAAATCTAGAATTCGAAAAGTCAAAAAATCGATCAATCGACAAATCGAAAATTTAAAAGGTCCAAAATTGAAATAAGCATTCAAAAATCTTAAAATCGGGGAATCGTAAAACAGAAATATCGGAAAATAGACTAATCGAAAATTAGAACAATCGGGTGATCGAGGAATCGAAAAATTAAAAAATCCCGAATACAAAATATCGAGGAATTGAAAATTGGCAAATCGACTATTGAAAAATCGAAAAATTTTAAAATAAAAAAAAAATGAAAAATCCCAAAACTGAAATTCGAAGCATCGAAAAGCGGAAAAATTTTAAATTCGAAAAATTAAGTAAACGAAAAATTGTAAAATTTTGATTTTTTTCCAAAAATCTCGATGTCTAGGATAAAAACCCAACACGAATTTTTCGTTCGTTATTTCGTTCTTAAAATTTTTCATTTTTCAGTTTCCCGATTGTCCGATTTTCAAATTTTTCAATTTTCCAATTTTCGAATACGTAGCGATCTTTTCCCAACAACAAAACTTAAAAAAATATGTTGAAAATGGTAAATTTTTACAGAGAAATATGTTTTGTAATTGCTCCTCAGTTTAACACGAATGAAAAATTCATCATAATTGAGATCGAGGTGGGTGGGTGGGGCTTAATCTTTGTTTTATTTTCAATATACATACAGAGTTTTATTTTAACAACATTATAGGTACACATGTTTTCAGTTGCTTGTTGATACAAGAAAACTTCGTGTATTAAGAAAAAACGGACAAAATATAAGCCCCGCCCACCCACCCCTTCTCAATTGTGATGAATTTTTTATTCATCAGTTGGAAAATCGGAAAATTGGAAAATTTAAACATGAAATTGAAGAAAAGGAAAACAAAATATTGAAAATTTACAGATGGAAAAATTGACGAAACGAAAAGTGAAAAGAAAGTGAAATCCAAAAAACAAAAAATTATAAAATCGGAACATTGAAAATTTGAAATAATTTTATAATTTTTCGGAGAAGCGGTATTTGTTGGATTATATGTACTTCAGAAGCCAGGGAAGTTCTGTCGAAATAACTTTCGACAAATTTTTGTATGTTAAGCATTACTTCATAGATCTCGCTTGTGGTGTCCCGATTTGAAAAATTAAATTTCACGCCTAGTCAAAAACTGGAGACTTGCCATTAGTATCGCACCTCCTGTTGCTCGTCCATGAAGCCTAATAAACCGTTCATACTCGAGTTCATAATTCGTTAATTATTTCTGCGAAGAGTGCACAGACTTATTGCCAAAGTAACGGTCCGTAAACGTTAAAGACGACCATAACCTTCCCAGTAAATGGATAATGAGGTCTGCGTTAGTTCCCGAGATGGTTATTTTCCAGCGAATTGCCCAGTTTTGGCAGCGAACCCATTACCAAATCATCGCTGATCACTTTGAAACCAATTACGCTCTCTCTCGCTACTTGCGGTTGAAAAACCCCACCTGATTATCTCGCTACTCCCATAAATATTCGTCCTCAAAAAATCTTATCAAAATTCCGATCTACACCACATGCCCGCGCTCAACCCACAAACAAAATTTTTCTTGTAACAATTCCTGGTTGCGATGCCACTGTTCGACACATGCTTGTGAGAAAACTCGCTCTAGACAATACAACATTAACAAAAGTGTAATGCGTTACGCAAAGAAGGCCGTGTGAAAGACCTCCACGTTCATTAAACGGACGGTTTCGAACACAAGAAGTCGATTTTTGTTGTTAAATAACCGGAAGCAGATGAAAGTTGCGATTGGAACGACGCAATTTCAAACCGCACAAATCTTGCTACTTTCCATTTTCATATATTTTCCCATTTTTCTCTAATTTGATCGCATTGTTTGCGGCTTAAGGTGCGGAACAGGTGGAGAACCCTAAATATAATTAATTGGCTGTTCTTTGTGATGCACGTGAAATCGGCGCTTAAGATCCGAAGCAGAGATACTTGAAATTGACCAGAAAGTATAACCATAAAATGAACAAAGTTGAGGTGTACACAATGTTTCAAGTATGTCTGGAGTATGCCAAGAATTCTTCACGTAATCATCTGCGGCCTTATTTCTGCCAGGAACTGTTTCAATTGCTTGTAGGTAATTGCTTTGTGGAAGGTGAAGCGTGTTCTAACTTCGCCGATCTTGGATATCGGAGATTAAATTCCAAACAATAACAGATTTACGACTGTAAATAACTTTCCTTGAGACTCTTATCGTAATGGTCACTTTGGAACCACTTAAATTTCAACCCACTAATATTTTTTTTTCGTTTCAGATTTTGCGATGGGGTTCGAAGCTTTTGAGGAGTCGTAGTGAAGATCAGGCCGAGGTACGTTATCTATCTATTCTATCCATCACCCCTCCCCCACTAGACCGCACCATTTCGCTGATAATCAAAGCAAACAACCGAAAATTCCCTTATAAACCCACATGACTCAATATCTTTCGCAACAAACAGACCACTCATCGATAAATAATCCACATCACACTCCTCTCCCAGCCCGACTCCGCCGCCGCAAATCTACAAAAGGAATTAGGCTCCAGTAATTGCCGCCAAACCTTGGACTTGACGATTATGATCGTCTCGCGAGCCGTCCATTAATCATAGCCCGGGTCTTTTTGCCCTTTGCGCCGCCGAATTTCGGGATTTTTTTTCTTTTTTTTGGGCGAAGGGAAGTTCGTTGCGCTCGGGATGCTGCAAATCGATGCCAGGCGACCTCGACCATGGAGCTGTGACCCGACCTTCCCTACGGCGGGTTCAGCAACTTGCTGGAAATCCGAAATTCAACGACTAGACAAAGGGCGGGGAGGTCCGATTTGATGGCGCTTTTATTGGCGTGAAGTTGGCAGCGGGGCGGCGGGACCTGGGGGTGGCGGTTTTATGGGGCGGCTGCAGATCATGGCCGGATTGTGTTGGCTTTGTCGCGAAGCGTTTGCGAGTGACTGGTGTTTAGCGAATAGATGGAGTGATCACGTGGCTGCAAGGTGAGCGACAGGCTTACACAAGAATATTAAAAATTGTTTCGATAGAACTTTAGAATTATAAAATTTGATTATGCGATTTTTGTTTTTTACCTCGGTAATTCCGAAAAATATAAAAATTGAAAAGTGAAAACTGGAAGTTCGAAAGTCGGAAAAATAAAAGCTTAAGACAAGTCAAAAAATCGAAAATTGAGAAATCAAAAAATCCAAGACTAAAAAATCGAAAAATTGAAAGGCTATAAATGGAATAGAAAATTTGACAAATTGAAAACTAAGAAAATTGAAGTCTACAAATCGAAAAAGAAACAAATTGAAAATTTGAATATCGAAAAATCAAAAATTCGATAATTGAGATTTCGAAAAAAAAAGCGAAGAGTCGAAATATAAAATAACAAAATATCGAAAAATGGAAAAATTGAAAAATCGAGAAATTGATTTAAAAAAATTTGAATTACGAAACTTCGAAAATTGAAAACTTAAAAAATCTAAACATTGAAAAATTGAAACATCCAGAATTCGAAACATCCAGAGATCGAGAAATGGAAAAAATCCCAAAATTGAAATGTTGCCAATTCGAAACATCAAAAAATTGAAAAATCCAAAAAAGACTGAAAAACCGAGAAATCGCTAAATCGAAACATCGAACGATGGGAAAATTGAAACGTCGAGAAATCGAAAATTCCAAACATTAAATGTCGAAAAATTATCATTTGAAAAGTTGAAAACTTTATATACAAAACAAAAAATTGAAGAATCGAAACGTCGAAATCTCGAAAAATCGAGAAATTGAAAAATTGATAACACTGAGAAATCAAAAAATTTAAAAACCGAAAAATTAAAAAATGTAAAAATTAAATTCAAAAAGACGAAAGGTAGAAATATTGAAAATTAATCTAAAAAACTAAACTATCGGAAATTGAAAAGTCGGGAAATCAAATAGGAAACAAATTGAAAATTCCAGAAATCGAAAATCAAAAATTCAATAATCGAGGTATCGAAAAAAAACCAAGAGTCGAAATATAGAAAAAACGAAATATTGGAAAGTCGAAACATCGAAAATTCTATCAATTAATATCGAAAAATGGAAAAATTGAAAATGAAAATTGGAAGTTCGAAAGTCAAAAAAATCGAGTAAAATCTTCCGCAAGGTCAAAAAATCGAAAATTGAGAAATCGAGAACTCGAGAAATCAAAAAACCGAAGACTAAAAAAATTGAAAAATCGAAAGGCTGTGGAATGGAATTGAAAATTTGAGAAATCGAAAAGTAAAGAAATTGAGGTCAAAAAATTGAAGAATGTAATCGAAAATTCGAAACATTAAAAATCGAAAAGTAGAAAGATTGAAAATTGCACTATCGGAAATGGAAAACTCGAGAAATAAAAAAATCCAAAAGTTGAAAATTCGAAAAATCGATAATCGAGGTTTCGAAAAAAACAAGAGTCAAAATATAGAAAACACGAAATGTCGATAGTCGAGACATCGAAAATTCTATTAATCAATATCGAAAAATTGAATGATCGAGAAATCGATTTTAAAAAATTTGAATACATATTTGAAAATTCGAAAATTGAAAACTTAAAAATCAAAACATTGAAAAATCGAAACATCGAGAATTCGAAACATCCAGAGATCGAGAAATGGAAAAAATTGAGAATTCCAAAACTTGAAAAATCGAGAAACTGGAAAGTTTTAAAATATTGAAACCCGAAAATTTGAGGAATGGAAAATTCGAAAAATTGAAATCTTTAAAAATCAAACAATCGTAAAATCGAAAAATGTAAAATTTAGAAAAAAAATTAAAAGTCCATAATTGCAAAATCGAAGCATCGAACGATCGGTAAATTAAAACATCGAGAAACTGAAAAATCGAGAAGCCGACAAATTGAAAAACCCAGAAATTAAAAATCGAGCAATTGAAATAGCCCAAAATCGAAAAATTATGAAATATTTGAAAAATTGAAAAATTTATATTCAAAAGAAAAAATTGAAAAACCGAAAAATTAAAAAATCTAAAAATGTAAAATTCAAAAAACGAAAAATTGAAAAATCCGAAAACTCAGAGTACGAAAAGTTGATCAATCGATAAATCGAAAATTAAAAGATCAAAAACATGAAAAATCAAAAAATTGAAGATTTGAAAATCGAGCTCTCGACAATTGGAAAATCAAAGAATCGAAAAGTCGAAAAATCAAAAAATCCAGAAGAAATTGAAAATATAAAAAATCAAAAATTGAAAATTCGAAAAATCGAAGAACTGAACAATTGAAAATCGAGAATTCCAAAAGGAATCAAACTGAAAATTTGAATATTGAAAAAACGAAAATACGAGGAATTGGAAACCGAAAATTCCAGAATCGAAATTCTGAATCGAGGTTTCGAAAAAAAATCAAGACTCGAAATATAAAAAAAGCGAAATTTCCAAAGCCGAAAGGTCGGTAATTCTATTGATCAATCAAGCAATGTCGAAAAATGAAATGGTCAAAATTGAGAAATCAAAAATTTGAAAAATTGCGAAACCGAAAAATTTTAAACATTGAAACCCGTGAAGTTGAGAAATGTAAAATTCGAAAAATTGAGATCTTAAAAAATTAAACAATCGTAAAATCGATAAATGTAAAATTTAAAGAAACAAGAATTTAATTGTCCATAAAAAATTGAAATGAATGAAAATTGAGAAATCGAAAAATTGAAAAATCGAAACATCAGAACGATCGAAAAATTGAAAAATCGAGAAATGGAAATATCAAATGATCGAGAAATCGCAAAATCGAGAATCCGGTAAATTTAAAAACCCAGAAATATAAAAACCGAGAAATTGAAATAACCCAAAATCGAAAAATTATCATTTGAAAAATTTATATTCAAAAGAAAAATCGAAACATCGAAATGGCGATATATCGAGAAATTGAAAAATTGATAAAAATGACAAATCAGAAAATTTAAAAACCGAAAAATTAAAAAATCTAAAAATGTAAATTTTAAAAAACGAAAAGTAGAAAGATTGAAAATTAAACTATCGGAAATCGAAAATTCGAGAAATCAAAAAATCTGAAAGTAAAAAATTGGAAACTCTAAAAACTGAAGAATGGAAAAATTGAAAAATCGAAAATATAAGAAATTAAAAATTGAAAATTGGAGAAATTGAAAATCCAGTAATCGAAAAGGAAACAAATTGAAAATTTGAATATCGGAAAAACGAAAATCCGAGGAATTGGAACCCGAAAATTCCAGAAATGGAAAAATCAAAAATTCGATAATCGACGTTTCGAAAAAAAAGAGTCGAAATACAGAAAAAATGAAATATTGAAAGGCGAGACATTAAAAATTATATTAATCAATATCGAAAAATGGAAAAATTTTAAAAATCGATAAATAGATTTTAAAAAAATTTGAATATCGAAAATTCGAAAATTGAATACTTTAAAATCAAAACATTGAAAAATTGAAAAATCAAAACATCGACAATTCGAAACATCCAGAGATCGAGAAATGGAAAAAATTCCAAAATTGAAGTGTTGCAAACTCCATAAAAAATTGGAAAATCGAAATATTAAATGATCGAGAAGTCGTGGATGTGACAAACCGAGAAATATAAAAATCGACGAATTGAAATAGCCCAAAATCGAAAAATTATTATCTGAAAAATTTATATTCAAAAGAAAAAAATTGAAAAATCGAAACATCGAAATCTCGATGAATTATTAAAAAATTTAAATTTAAAAAACGAACAATTGAAAAATCCGAAAACTCAAAGAACAAAATGTTGATCAATCGATAAATTGAAAACCTGAAAATTGAAGATTTGAAAATCGAAAAATCGAGAAATCGACAATTGGAAAATCAAAATATCGAAAAGCTGAAAAATCAAAAAAATCGAGAAGTAAAATATTGAAAAATCTAAAAGCTGAAGAATGGAAAAATTGAAAAATCGGAAAATTCAAAAAATCGAAGAATTGAAAAATTGAAAATCGAGAATCGAAAAGGAAACAAATTGAAAATTTGAAAATCGAAAAAACGAAAATCCGAGGAATTGGAAACCGGAAATTCCAGAATCGAAAAATCAGAAATTCGATTATCGAAAAAAACCAAGAGTCGAAATATGGAAAAAACTAAATTTCGAAAGTAGAAACATCGAAAATTATATCGATCAATCAATATCGAAAAATTGAAAAATCGAAACATCGAGAATTCGAAACATGCAGCAGAGATCGAGAAATGGAAAAAATTCCAAAATTGAAATGTTCAAAGTTGAGAAATCGAACACTTGACAAATCGAAAAACCGAAAAATTTTAAACATTGAAAGCCGTGAAATTGAGAAATGGAAAATTCGAAAAATTTAAATCTTA